GCCGCCACGCAGCTCGTGCTGGGTTTCCAGCCGCGGGCCTTCAACGCTCTGTGCCTGGGCAGCGGCGCGCTCCGCCTGGCGCTCGGCCTCCTGCAGCTGCTGCCCGGGCGCCGGGCGGCCCCCGCGGGGTCCCCGCCGGCCCCGGCTCGCGCCCTCGCGTCCACCCGAATCCTGCGCGCCGCTGTCGCCTGCGACGTGCTCGGCTGCCTGGGTGAGGCGCGCGGCCCCAGGGTGGCCCTGGTCCGGGCACAGTGAGGGCGCGCGGCCCGAGGGGGGGATCTGGTTGGTGCCTGGGTGAAGGGTGCTGTCCGCGGGTGGGATCCGGTTGGTGCCTGGGTGAGGGGTGCTGTCCGCGGGTGGGATCCGGTTGGTGCCTGGGTGAGGGCGCGCGGCCCGAGGGGGGGATCTGGTTGGTGCCTGGGTGAGGGGTGCTGCCTGCGGGTGGGATCCGGTTGGTGCCTGGGTGAGGGGTGCTGCCCGCGGGTGGGATCCGGTTGGTGCCTGGGTGAGGGGTGCTGCCTGCGGGTGGGATCCGGTTGGTGCCTGGGTGAGAGCGTGGCCCGCAGGGGGGCAGGGCATCTGCGTGCTCAGGAGCACAGAGAAGGGAGAACCGGTTCCCTGGGGACCAGACAGGAGGACTAGAGGATCCCCGATCCGCGAAACAAGACGGTCCCTAAGAGTTATGGCCAAGGGCCTTAGCCAGTGTGGCTCAGTGGATAGAGTGTCGCCGGAGGATTGAAGGGTCCCGGGTTCGATTTCAGTCAAAGGCACGTACCTCAGTTGCAGCGGGAACATACAGGAGGCAACCAATCGATATGTCTCTCTCACATCGATGTTTCTCTCTCTCTCTGTCTCTCCCTCTCCCTTCCACTCTCTCTAAAAATCAATGGGAAAATATCCTTGGGTGAGGAGTAACAACAAAAGTTATGTCTAAGGGACATTTGTTTCTAAAAATTACAACCGTGTCTTTGTTGGTTGTGCAGGGTTACCAGCGCAGGGCGACGCTCAGCCAGCGGAGCCGGGCCAGGGCCCGGGGTGCCTAGGAAAAAGCGCTGCCTAACCAAGAACCTCGACCTACACTTGAAGTACGTGTAGTGTTTGAGGAGGATTCCATATCTGGGTCTAATAGGAATAAAGACTCACAAATAATAATGTCGGAAGGAAGTGGCCAACAGGGAATTTGTGAGATTCTTCAGTGTAGTTGTAAGAGGATGCAACAAGTTTCTTCCTAAACTTCAACAGTGTGCTCTAACATTCTATTCTGTATGAATGAGTTAACACAGACATTAAAATTATAGCCAAGCCTGAGATAGTGTGGCTCTGTGGATAGAGCAGCCTGTGGACTGAAGGGTCCGGGTCCCATTCCAGTCAAGGGCACATGCTCCGGTTGCAGGCTCAATCCCCAGTAGGGGGAGTGCAGGAGGCAGCTGATCCATGATTCTCTCTCATCATTGATGTTTCTCTCTCTCTCTCCCTCTCCATTCCTCTCTGAAATCAATGAAAAAAAAAATATATATACACACACACACACACACAGTGGGGCCTTGACTTACGAGTTTAATTTGTTCCTAGACCGAGCTCGTTAAGGAGCTCGTTAACTCAAATTACTCTATCAACTCAATGCAAAAAATCGGCCGAGAGACAGCTGGTATCTCAAAAAACTCGTTAGTCGGGACACTCGTGAGTCAAGGCCCCACTGTGTGTGTGTGTG